TCGAAGTATTCGATCAGATGTCTGGCGATGGCTCTGGAGCCGTCGTCTTCGGGGGCGTTGGGGCCGGTCTGATCCATGTAGTCGGACTCGATGATGCCAACGACCTTCTCGGGGTCAATGGGGATAGAGTTCGTTCCGATGCGATCCTCGACGCTGGTGATGAGGTAGGGCTTGCGGCGCGGGGGCACGTCGGTCATGGTGATGTCGTGGAGACCGTCAAAGTTGGGCAGCGCGGTGTTGACCTCGATGATGATCTTGTCGGCCATCTGCACGAGCTCAGGGGTCGCTCCGACAGACGCACCAGGAACGATGCTGCCATCCTCCTTGATCTCTGTGGCCTCGACTACGACAACGTCAAGGTTCTTGTTTGGGCGGTCCTTGGTATAGAAGCCGTATACGAGGTCGACGGGGAACTGCGACAGGTGCTTGTCGAAGAAGTGAATCCTGCCCTCGTTGATGCCCTTGGAAATGGCCTTGCCGACCTGATGGGGGGCTCGGCGATTGATCATATCCAAGCTGGCCCAGCGGTTCTCGGTCTCGGCGCCGGAGGAGGCACCGACAAACAGGCTGTACTTGAGCTGGCCCTGAAGACTATTCGACGGGAACGATACATATTAGCTTATTGGAACCAGATCTACTAGCACCTCTAGAGGTTCTTACGAGTTCTGCTCGACGTGGTCCGCCAAGTAGGTGGGCATCTTCTTGGGGTACCCGACGCCAGTGAAGCCGGACCAGCCGATGTAGGCGCCATTGGGGAAGTGCTGCAGGAGATCCTGGGGCTTGGTGAGCTTCTTGAGCATCGAGGGCCGCTTGACGCGAGCCCGCAGAGCGGCGGAAGCAATAGGAGACGCCATGATCGCGAGAGGTGATCACGCAAATGAAAGTGAGGAGTGGAGAGGTTCACAGAGGGTCAATGCCCGTGGAAAGGAGGGGAGAGAGGAGAGGACGAAGTTCGAAGCCTGGCCTACTACGACAACAAGGAGAGGAAGGTACGGAGAACGGGGTGACTCTGGGGCAGGAAGTGGGCGCCGGCGAGACTTTATACTGTCAGTTTTGTTTGGTTCCGATGGAAAGAGCGCGTCTCCATTCAGTTCTGGACTCAGGAGAAAAGACCAAGAGTCAAGAGTCAAGGTATGGGAAAAAAGATCAGGTCACTCCTTGAGCCCCTCGGTGGGGAATGACGCAGCACGAACCCTTGGAGACCAGGGAGCTCCAAGATAGCTCCAAGCTTTCTTAGAGGTAGAGAGTGCCCCTTGGAGTATTATGTCATCAAATTAGAGAGTATGATTGGTTCAGTGAGGGTTTGCGGCTCGGTAACAGTCGGTAACATCCTCAAGGACGCAGCCGCATGCCCGCCGCTAGAGCGAGAAACCTTCTTGTCTCTTTCGCCTGTCGCCAGGTACTTTGTAAGGCTCGCAATGTGCCTGAGTAGTCTGCTGTTGGCAGCCTGTAGGGCTTAATTTCAGGTACCTCACCGCGCATCCTTTCGGTTTGAGCCGAGAGTCAACAGCCATTGACCAATCAAGTCTCGTGAATTCCGCTGTTTTCCAAGCAAATCTGGGCTGAGGTTCAGTCAGGAGATTTTCCACTATTTTTGTATTGTCTGTTGATGCGCGCAATGTTTGCATTGTCTAGTGGTCTTTCATAGATGTTTTGAACTTCATGTCCCTAAGCTTCGAGTACCTAGATGGACTAAAGCCCCCACCGTCGAGGCGGTTCCCGAGATGCCAGCGACAAAAATAAACTGGAGTATTTTCTTAAACTTCCGTAGATGCGAGCTCAACCTTCGGCACAGCTCGGCCGGACGAATCTCGGCCTTAAGACTGCGCTGCGTCGTCTCATTCGTTGAGGCAGATTCACGTCTTCCCGGACGATCTGGCTCCATTTCGTGCTACGTACTTACCTTACGTAAGGTGTGTCTGGCACCGGGAATTGCCCTTCTCACGCTCTCGCGTCTTCAAGACTCAAAGAGGAAGGAAACCCGTCATTTGCAAGGTTTCGAGAGTTGGGAATAGCTTCGTTTCGTCTCTTTTTACTTTTCTTGCCCATCCTTGACGAGTTCCGGCAAAGCCTAGGTACATGCATCCACACCACGACGTATCCTAACCATTTATTCCGGAATCTTGGCCTCTTCAGCCGAAACTCCCGCCTTCCACCTGTATGACGCCGCGACGTGCTCATCCAGCGGTCCCGACTGGCCCTGCTTGCGGTAAAAGTTCTCTCTGTACGTTCCACCGGGAACCGCGTAGTCGTCCCAGAAGAGACCGCGACGACGCAGCTCCGGCAGGAGAAGATCGATAATGTCCTTGAAGGACTGTGGGAAGAGGGCGTACGCCTAGCATCAATAGTCAGCATCATCATCTCCCACCAACAAAACGGCATGGGCACTTACAAAGTTGAATCCATCAACATCCGCCTCCTCAATCCACGTCTCAAGCCCATCGGCAACCTGCGAAGCCGTACCGACAAAAATGGGCCCGTTGCCACCAATGCTGACGTGCTCGGCAATAGTATGCTTCGTCCACTTTGACGTACCCGGCGAGAACCGCGCGTACCCCTCAACAGTCGACTTGACAGCATTGCTCTCCACCTGCCGCAGCTCCTCCTCGTCACCATACTTGCTCAAATCGATGCCCGTCCAGCCACCGAACAGCGCCAGCGCGCCCTCGTGCGAGGCGTACTTGCGGTAATCAGCCAGCTTCGCCTGCGCCTCCTCCTCCGTAGCGCCCAGGATAGGCGTCACGAGCGCGAGCACCTTGATATCCTTACCGTCGCGGCCGTACTGCGTCCGCGCGAGCTCCCGGATCTCGGCAATGTTCTTTGCGCACACGGCGGGCGCGTGCGCCGAAACGAAGATGGCTTCGGCGTGCTGCGCCGCGAATTGTTTGCCGGCCTTGGAGGTTCCGGCTTGCAAGAGGAGAGGGGTGCGTTGCGGACTAGGTTGGACGATGTGCGGGCCGGGGACGGTGAAGAAGCGCCCGTTGTGGTCGATCTTGCGGACGAGGTCGGGCTGAGTGTAGATGCCTGACTTGCGGTCGAGCTTGACGGCGTCGTCTCTCCATGAGGACTCGAAGAGCTTGTACATGACCTTGATGTACTCCTCGGCTTGCGCGTATCGGTCGTCGTGCTGCCCCTGTTAGCAGTGCCCGGATCGTGGGATGGCTTCGCGTTATCTTACCTGGGGCTGGTGGGTGAGACCCATGTTCTTTGCTGCGGAATCCAGGTAGCTCGTCACGATCTGTGCTGGTCAGTCTGCGCTTCCTCAAAAGATTCTGCCTGGAGACTGACATTCCAACCAAGACTAGATACTATTAGCAAGGGACCTTCGTGACCGGTCCTTGGGCTACTTACCGACCGCCCGTGAGGTGATCAAGAGTCGACAAACGCCTTGCGAGGTGGTACGGCTGCTCATATGTCGTCGATACCGTCACGCCGAAGCCAATGTTCTTCGTTACCGCAGCCATGGCAGCCACGGGGGCCAATGGCTCGTTGACGGGCCATTGGGCACCGGAAACCTTTGCGGGGTCGAGGGACTGTGAGTAGACATCGTAGCCGCCTGCTTTGTTATTAGCTGATATTCCGATTTCGATATCCTGAACGACAAGTCAAACTCACCAAGAACATCGGCGATGAAGATGCCGTGGAACTTGGCCTCCTCGAGCAGCTTAGCCAACTCAACCCAATGGCTGATTTCGTTGAAGCGCCACGACTCGTCTTCGGGATGCCTCCAGAGTCCGGGGGACTGGTGTCCACTGCCTACACGGGAACTGTCAGCTTCAATGCGAGAGTCTGCGGCGAAACCTGGATGCCATACACATCTCAACGAAGGCATTGAGCACGAGGCTCTTCTTCGGCTTTGCGCTTCCCGTCGTGTCGGTCATGTTTTCTTCGTCTTTCTTACTTCTGTAGTACTTTGGAGTCTCTAAGTTCGCTAGAATCGATTGTGCTCATGAGAAAGGTTTCAAAAGGGAAGAAGTTTCTGGCTTTTGCGACAACAAAATACAACAAAACTTTTTCCAGACTATTACTACAATCATTTAGCGAAACCTCGGCCACCGCGGGGTAACATGGAGGGGTTCGCGTCGAACGACGTGACGTCCCCTTTGGAGACACACCCCCCGGCGATGGTCTTACACAGAACATGTCGAAGTTTACCCCAAATTGCCCCTCCCGATACTCGGCGTGGGTCCGGCACCGTGGAGCCGGGGCGATGATGCCACCGGACGGCTCGGTGGCGCAAGACGCACGACGACGCACAAACGGGCCATGGGCGGACCCCACGCCAATGCCGACGACCCCTGCACTCCGCCTTCCTGATTGTTTCCAGGGAAGCTCCTGTTCGTTAGCTCGCCTGGGCCTCCGAATGATGGCTCCTGAAAAGCTCCGTGTAAAGCCATTTAGCTATTTAGACTGCAAAAGGCGGTTAAGCTGTAATTCGCGGGGCCAAGATGCCCTTGGCTGAAGAGGAGATACAGCGGCTCCCGCCGGCAACCGCAGGTCGTGGGGTTCAAGGTTTCCGACATGAGGTTATCACGTCATGTTAGCTCCGATGACATGGCCCAACCAGAGAGTTGCAGATTACCGCGCGACAGATTGGCGGATGGTTAATATCCGCAAAATTTGGCAGCAGTGATACAGTACTGCAGACCACTCTATGAGGGGCAGTCCGAAGCGCGGGATTGATTGTCTCTGCAGAGCTTTCATTCGCCAATCGACCTAAGTGTCGGTCTCACGATGATTTCGGCTGGGTGATCACCTCATTGGCAGTACATCAACACATGACACAGATGTTCGGAAAGAGCATTTAATTAAGGTTCATACAGAGATTGTCTGGCGCGGAGAAACAGGGAATCATTAATCTCTATAGCAACATCGCAACCCCAGTCTCGACGATCGGCATCAAGCTGAGAGGAGTTATCCACCCCAGCCGGCAACGCGTCCCAGCAATTCGGGTATCACCAACGCCGACTCGCACTCTATCCCACCGTTTAAGGTACTGTCTAGTGCTTCACGTCCGATTCGCCATCCTCGCTAGACACCACGCCGCTCACCTCGCGCACCTCCTCCACGTGTGCCGACAGCCCGGAGCCAAAGTGTCTCAGGACCAGCCACGCGGGCCCGATGGCCACGGCCCACAGCGCAAAGTTGAGGTAGATTGCGCCGACCTCGCCAAAGAGGGTGATTGATGTGAGGCCGTAGCTGACGGCCTGCCACGCCGACTCGACTCCGCGGAGCAGGGCGGCGTAGCGGATGACTTCCTCTTCGCCTTCGGCCAGGTTTGTAACGATGAAGTACCTGTTTGTCTATGTTAGTTCCAGAAGTCTCGGCAAGCACGACGTGAGATTTTTTCCACGAAGGATTTGACGTACAGGAAGAGATAGTTGATCTGGAATCCGATCGTGAGGAAGATGTAGACCGCAAAGGCGGCTCCGAAGCCAGGGCTGGCCCAGTCGTGGACAGGGCGGGTCTGGCGGAACCGTGTCGCGAGGATGGTCGCCCAGAGCCACCACGCGCCCTGAGTGACGACGAGAGTCCAGAAGGTCGACCTCGTGCGGAGCTTGAGTGACACCTTTGCGCGATCAAGCCAGTGCTGCCAGCATCATCAGTGACCGTCTCTTATTTGTAGCTACGAGCTTGCGAGAGCTACTTACTCCGAGAAGATTACCGGAAATCACGGCCACGATGCCGGAAAGGAAGGATCCGAGAGCTCGAGATCGAACAGAGAACCATGCTGCAGTACAACGTTAGCTTCAAGTCTCCTAGAGGAGAGCTTCTGGAAACACTTACAGGCAAGATACGTGAAAAACACAGCCTCCGCAAACACAGCCTGGCCAATCCAAAGAACAATCAAAAGGAACTTCGGCTTCAACAAGTTCCTCGTCGTAGCCTTGATCTCATACCACGGATTCTCCAAAATCGCCAAGCTAACCTTCTTGCCATCCTGCCTCTCCACCTGCTCCGGCTTATTCAAGAAGAAGCCGACAAACGGGCCCGCAGCCTGGATGGCAATAAAGATAATGAAGACGGTGTACGAGACCTTGCCGGCCTGGTCGTTGTCCGCGTTGAGGCCGAGGTTGATGGCGCCGCCGAGGATCTGGCCGCAGAGGCGGTAGGTGAGCCAGTAGCCCAGCGCCTTGCCGCGGTTCCAGGGCTCCGGGTAGGCGATGGCGATGGCGGCCTCGGCCATCCAGAAGACGCCGGCGGAGATGCCGCAGAGGGCGGCGCCAAGAAGCATGAGCCATTCGACGCCGTAGCGGTTGTTTGTGTAGAGGCCTGCTGCGAAAGGGGCGTAGCCGATGCTGTTGGATTTGGTAATGTCAGCATGGGCTTTTCCCGACACGCTCTTCCACATTCGTGGCGTTGGGAAGGCGGGCTGAACCTACGTTCCAAAGATGAGGGCGCCCTTGATGCCTATGTAGTGGACGATGACGGAGGAGAAGTAGCAGGACACCACCATGAGGCAGAATGTGAGGGCGTTGGCGGCGTTGACGACCTTTGGCGAGGCGGCGCCGCCTGCGCCGAGGGAGTTCATGGCGCCCCAGATACCTGGGGCCGCGAGGTTGCAGAGGCCGAGGATGGTCATGTTGTAGAACGTCGAGCGGTACCATTTCACTGTTGAATTTTAATGTCAGTCTTCTAGTGATACTGCAAGCATTATCTTTGCACCGTTGACGAACCTGGATGACGCTCCGACTTGGGAGGGATGACATCGCCCTTTGCTGGGTCGGCGTATTCTGCCATTGTGAAGGTCTTCCGATTAAAATCGAAGGTAACACAAGGCTGAACTGATGAATGAAAGAAGAGAAAGACTATGTCTGGATATCTTCGAAAGCCAAGACCTGAAATGCCGAGTCGTCTATCGCAGGCGGAATCGCAACAGAAATGGGAATCCTTCGTCTTATGGACCAGATCAGAAGAGACAAGAACATGCAGGGATCGTCCAGCTGAATGTCATAGTCAGGCCAACTTCACTGCTCGCCTCTGCTGTCTGAGCCCAATTCCTCACTTCTCCCAAAGTAACATGGTTGCCATTGACACATGCCGGGCCCAGACTGCAGGGTCCAGACAAACTTTTTTTTCCTTTCCTCCCATCCTTTGCCTAATACCAAGAGACCCCCGGCAGCATCTGCCAGGCTTACTCCAATTCCCCAATAGCTTAGCGTTTGAAGTGAGTACTCGCTAAGACGACTTTGTGGAAATCTCCGGCGAATTTGGGTTGCGAAATCAACCGGGTACAGCACGCCATTCCGCTGCCGGCGCACGGGTTCCGGAGTACCACCCTCGACGCTCTTGTCAATCAACGCAATAGAGTCGATAGTCAACACCACCACCACGGTACCGTGTCGAATTCCCCACGCTAGGAGTGAAAGCACGACATTTTGATTCCGAGTCTTTGGGAACGTTTGGCATGTCAAATCGCGCATCCACGTGGGTTGAAGACCTGGTGGCTTCAGATGGGCCGTTTGGCTTATCCTGTTTCTCGGGTTCGTAGTTCGGCATGGCGCCATTGACACTGATGGCTTGGCATTTGATTTCAATCGAATGGTTCGAGACCTCTTCGGTGGTTTGGGACAAAGCACTGTACGATGTCCAAGTACCACAGATTCTTCTGCCAGAGACTACCTAAGCTCTATCAAGCAAGCAAGCAGCGACGAGTCGACCCAGGACATCCCCATGGCGCAGACTATGCACTCGAAATATATCTCTTTCAAGTGATCATGATGGTATTGATTTTGTTGCATTCATCGTAGCGCATGTATCTATGAGCTCCTACGCAAATCTAAGGAACACTATGCCAACTCTCATGGACATCTTTGACATCCACACCTCCAGCCTTAAGGTAAGGAGTCACGTCGGATTCCGGGTCCAGCTCCCTCTTCGTGCATCCAAGTCCAAAGTACCACAAGAAAGGGTTTTCCGAGTCCCCGACATACTCATACTCAAAGTCCTCCCACCGCGGCTCCCGTTGTACGATCGTCGCCAGCGTAGCAGACCCAGGCCATAAGCCGTGGATCCTTGAACCGGCCTTACCGCTGTTATACCAAGAGCTGCAGTTCTCTGACAACACCGTCGTCGCGAAGAACGCATCAGAGTACTGTGTGAAGTTGTCCGCCGCCCTCTTGGTAGGCTGAATTGTCTTGATCCCCTCGCGGCTCGCCTTACGGAGGATGCGTGCGAAATACGTAATCTGATTCTCGACGTTGTGCGGGACCGTGCCGGAGCGTCCCGACCCGTTGGGGCCGTGGATGAAGAGCAGGTTCGGGAACCCGGGCGTTGCGGAGCCGAAGTATGTATACGGTCCATCGGGGCGCCAGACCTCGCGGAGGTCCTGGCCCTTGGCCGTGATGGGGAATGGAGGCGCCATGTCGACATTCGCGCCTGTAGCGCAAAAGATCGCGTCGACTTCGCGGTGTTTGCCGTCCTCCGTCTCGATACCCGTCTCCGTGATCCGCTTGATGCGCGTCTGGATGTACTCCGTCTTGTCGGAAGAAATGGCCTCGAAGTAGCCCGGCCCGGGTGTTAGACGCCGGCAGTGTGGCGAGAAGTCTGGGATGAGGGCGTCGATGAGCTCGGGTTTCTTGGTGAGCCTGTCATTCATGAACTTGCGGAACTTTTCTCGCGCCTCGTCGTTCTCGCTCGAGCCCTTCAGCCAGCCGGTGAAGTGACGGAAGTATTTGCTCTCCAGCTCCTTGCGGTACAGGAGGTACGCCTCTGGATCTTTGCGGAAGGTCTCTCTGAGGTTCTCGGGGATGACGATGGGCTCGATGGAGGTCTCGTCGCCCGCAAATGAAGCTGTGACCCACGTCTTGTTCCGCGCGTAGTGATCCAGCCGCGAGACAACCTTGTGCAAATTTGATGTGAGCTGAATACCACTGGCGCCGTTGCCAATCACCGCGACCTTCTTTTCTCTCGGGTCGAAGCTGGGGTCCCAGTTCGAGGCGTGTCTGAGGACTCCCTTGAAGTCCTTGATACCAGGGTAGTCTGGTAGCTTCCAGGCGTTGAAGCGGCCTATGGCTGTGAGGACGAACTCGGCCTCCTCTGTGCGAATTGCGTCTGTCGCGAGGTCGCGGATGGTGATTTGCCAGATTGAGCGTGATTCTACCCAGTTCAGGCCTTCAACTCGTTGTGCGAGATGGAGGTGCTTGTAAACGTCGTATTTCCGCGCCAGGCCCTGCCAGTAGTCGCGGATCTCGGCGCCTTGGGCAAATTCCTCCGTCCATTGTGTGTTGGGGTCAAATGTTGACTGATATACGTGGGCTGGTACGTCGCAACGAACGCCTGGATAGATGTTCTCGAACCATGTGCCGCCCTAGAAATATCGGTATTAGTCGGGGGTTCCTCTATAACGTTCTCAAGATTGATTGGAAACGTACCACGTCGGCGTTCTTCTCGTAAATCGAGAGCTTGATGCCGGGCACCTTTGCTGGTAAGAGGATGCCAGCAAGGACACCCGATAGACCTGCTCCGATCACAGCAACCCTCAGCTCCCGCGGCTCGTCTATGTATCTTTCGATGAGTTTGATCGGGTAATCATCATAAATGGACTTTGGTGGCGTGAGGAGTGAGTCGACGGTGCGCTCAATGAGAGTCTGTTTGTCGGACCCGTTCTTCAAAGGTGTCTCAATCGGAGCCTCCTTCTGTTCCACGACTTGTGAGGGCGTTGTGTCAATGTGGTCACCCATGATTACAGCTGTGAATACTCTGGTGATAATTCAAGTTGAAGGTGTGAGTTACAGTACTCTATGATAGACTCCGCTCACATCTCACAGCAGATAAGATGGGAAAGCCACATTTTGTTAGCCGGCGACTCTGCCCCTCGTCGATCCGGACATCGGAATCACGTCAGACTCGTGCTCGAACGCGTTACACGCACTTGGAGGGAAGACGCTCCGTGGTCTTGAGTATGGTCCAACTCAGGGACCGCCTCGCCGTCCTATCAGAGAAGAGCCATTGTTATCTCGCAGCATCAAAGCGAAAGCTTCACAAAAGAAACAGCTCTCCACCCCACCATAGATGCTGGAGCTTCATAACCCCGCTATCCAATGTTGCGGGCGAGTATCCGCACGGCGGATGTTGCTGGAGATGAGGTGCGCGGAGTATGGGGAGCACGCCATCTCCCCACTTTCTTGGGGAATCACAACGAGCACGCCCCCCCCCCCCCTTCTCATTCCCTCCTCAGATCGGAGCCTCCAACGAAATGCCCTTCATAGGTCCCTTTATCCCGCGATGGAGTCCAACTTGTCGGATCCGCCCTTGGCTCCAGTCTTGAAGGTTGCGAAGACTCGTCTCCAATTCTGCAAGTTGATGGGGTGGAGCATGGTTGATGCCGGCCGGTGATGGGGGCATAGTCGACAGGGGTTCGAGTGGTCTATCGAAACCAGGGAGGACGCCTCGCCTTTCCTCTTCGTCTCTTTCACATCTGTCTCACTGTCACATCAATAAGCCCTGAGATGGTGCAATGTTTATGCTAAGCATTTCTGCAACCCGCCAATCTCTTGTCGCATTCTTTCCGCTCTCTGGTCGGGTGGTATGCGGTGCTATTACGCAGTAGTCTCCGAATTCTCGCGTTGGTAAAACGCCATCGCCAAGTTTCGCTTCTTTGGTTTGTGCTTGCGCAAGAGACATGACTGGCCCCTTGTTTTATGGCTGGAAAGGACGGCGCGGTGCGTGGGTGGTTAGACATGGGATTGTAAAAATTGTGATGGCAGTAGATAGCTGGGATAATGATATGATAGGTACTAAAAGCAAGAGAAATCCTTGAAGTCCACTTCCTGCAGCTGTCATATGGGATTACTGCGTCTCGACATATCCAGATTTTTGTTCTCCCAGCATTCGCACAACAAGGCGACGACGAGATTATCACCATGGTCGTCCAAGCTCGTCGCAAGTGGTGGCACATCCAATGGTACTCCGACAACGATACACCGGAGGAACGCAGATTGATCAACAGACTTGACCTTCTCATTGTTCCGTACGCGGTTCTGAGCTACTGGGTCAAGTACATTGATCAATCGAACCTGAACAATGCCTACGTTGCCGGCCTGAAGGAAGACCTCGGATTCAAGGGCAATGAACTCGTCCAACTGCAGACATTTTACATCATCGGAGCTGTCACTGGGCAGCTGCCGATGATGTTTGTCCTGACATACATCCCGATCCATTGGCTCATTCCCTTTTTGGACATTGCCTGGGGCGTCTTTACACTCCTCCAGTTCCGCGTTACTGGATTTGCTGAGTTGGCTGCATACCGCTTCCTAGTCGGCTGGTTTGAGGCTGCCTTCTTCCCGGTTATGCACTATCTTTTTGGTGAGTCTCTTCGTTTTCTTCCATTTGAAAGCTTACTAATGAAACTCTTGAAGGCTCCTGGTATCGTGGAGATGAGATCGCGAGACGTGGCGGCATCTTCTATGTCGGTCTTTCACTTGGCACACTCACTGCGGGTCTGATCCAAGCTGGCGCCTCTGCACGACTCGACGGAGTGCATGGACTCGCTGGCTGGAGATGGATGTACATCATCTGCTCTCTCATCACCATTCCCATCGGCATCTTGGGCTACTTCGTCATCCCGGGCACCCCTGAACAGCCCAACCGACTCGTTCTTAAGAGAGAAAACATCGAATTGAGCGTGGAGAGACTGAAGCGCGCAGGTCACTCATCTCACGGAAAATTCAAGTTCAGCAACTTGAAGAAAGTCTTTTTCTCGTGGCAATTCTGGGGAATCATTGTTGTGGACGTTCTCTTCTGGAATGCAGGTATTCACACCTCGTCGGGTAGCTTCTTGCTCTGGATCAAGAGTCTCGGTCGTTATTCGGCAGCCAAGGTGAACGAACTCGGCACGATTGCGCCTGCTCTCGGCATCTTCTACACTTTGTTCGTCTGTTTCGCATCGGATCTCGTCATGGGACCGGCCTGGGCAATCACGATGTCAAGTGCTTGGAACGCCCTGGGGCTTCTCATCTTGACCATTTGGAACGTCCCGGAGCCTGCCAAATGGTTCGCATTCTCCACCATCTACTCTTCAGTTGCACTGTCGAGTGTGTTTCATGGGTGGGTGAATACACAATTGCGGTCTTCACCAGCAGAAAGATCCTTCACACTCGTCCTCATCAACGCTATCTCTCAGTCGTCTACGGCATGGACCCCGCTCTTGGTCTTTCCCACAGTCGAGGCACCTCGGTACCCCAAGGGCTTTGCGTTTACGCTGGCCTGTGCCATTCTTCTCATCGTCGCAACTCACATCTTGCGTATGTACGTCAAGCGCAGAGAGTAAGTAAATCCAATCCTTCACAAGCAGTCAGGATCATTCGCGCTGACTCCCTACCTAATAGTCCTCAACTCGAGAATTCTAGCGGGTTTCCTGAAAGTGATCATGAAGACATCTCAGCCATTGAACACGGCAAGCAACCACCAGTTGCAGTGAGTGGAAGAGATGACAGAAGCGACTGAAGGGAGATTTTGGAATTCGGCCGGATGATCATAGGTGCCCACACAAAGTCGATCGTTCCGCTGAAAAAACTAGACACATCGTTAGTGTAGTAGTGATTTATTGAGACTCTTCAAACTTCAAGCTCATGAGGTACATAGTAATAATCAAAGACTCCCTCATATCCATTAGATTATCATCTAAGTTAGTATCGTGAATCATGGCCTTCTCAGAAAAGCCCCCCCTTCGCACATTGCTCCATTGAAGCAATGCAATATGACTCAAGTAGATAATGACTTTCCACGATTGGTATGAGCGATTGAGATGAGCGATTGAGATATCGAGGACAGACTGTATACCATCCTCAACGTTCACCTTAAGATCGAGACATGTTGAATCTGACATGCTTCGCATATTTCCTCAAACACCCATGTGGTCCTAGTCGTGTATAGCGGAGCCCGACCGTGAAAGCCCCTAGTAGAACACTTTCTGACGTTCAAGAACGGAAATCTGAAATTTTGATTAGCAAGTATGGCGTGGTTATCACGGCCTTGTTCAACATCGTAGCATCGGGATTAGTTGCGACCCGCTGCGGAGATGCGCCTCCTGAACTACCGGCAATACCATGAGTGAGGCAATCGTCGGCTCAACAACCAGTTATCATAAGTCGTTTTTTGCCGACCCGACGCCACCTGAGTCCAAAGGGTCCAGACGGCCGGCGTTGGTCTCCGAAACGTAATGAAGTCTTCGGACTCAAGAGACGGGTGATGGCACCATCCGCACCCGCGATCACGCCAGCGTTTCTGCCCTGCACCGGCGGCGTTGAATTGGGGTCAACGTGCAGATAACATCCCGCGCCAGTCCCACGCGACGGGCGACAACGGCGATGACGACATGGGGAATGGACTACTTCCTTGCATCACAATCCTGCGCCAAGTTGAAGAGATTCGTGATGAATATGGGTTGATAAACAGAGGCAAGCCCGCGGGCTGTTTTGGAGCTGCAAGTGAAAGCCCGAGCTCGAGCATACTCTTCACCAAAAATTCGAAATGACTTCGGTACCGATCCACACAACCAATGGCGAAAATGGCGTCAGACCAGAGGGGAAGAAGCAGATTTTGCTCAATGCATTTGACATGTCTACTGTCGGGCACTTGTCTCCTGGACAATGGAAGGTCAGTATCCTCTATAAGATCTTATCGTGTGGACGATTTGCTGAGTCTCGCCGTTTCAGAACCCCGCCGACAAGTCAGCAACTAAACGCGACCTTAACTACTGGATCGACCTCGCGAAGCTCTTAGAACGAGGCGGCATCAACGCCCTCTTCCTTGCCGACACCTATGGAGGTTACGATACCTACGAAGGAAGCCTTGACAACTGCATTCGCCGAGCGGCTCAATGGCCAATGACAGATCCTACTATTGTAAGAGCACGCTCTAAGCACAAGAGTTAAACGGCCGCTTACAACGGGAACATAGCCGATCAGTGCCATGGCCGCTGTCACGAAGAACCTCACATTCGCCATCACCGCATCCACATCATTTGAGCCGCCTTTCCTTCTCGCCAAGCGGTTTTCCACACTCGACCATTTTACAAGGGGCCGCATTGGCTGGAACATTGTCACTTCTTGGAAGAAAGCAGCATTCAAGGCGATTGGCTTAGACAGCCCAATTCCCCATGACGAGCGGTATGCTCAGGCAGACGAGTATCTGCGGGTTCTTTACAAGTAAGCCTGTGTCGAAGAATATTTTGAAACACCGTTCTCAAACAGCATGCATATACATGTAGATACTAATGATTCAAAAGGCTTTGGGAAGGCTCATGGGCAGATGACGCGATTACCCCTGATCCCGAGAACGACAGCTATGCCGACCCCGATAAGATCCGGACGATTCACCACCACGGAAAGTTCTTCGACCTCGATACACGCCACATCGTCGATCCTTCACCCCAAAGAACCCCCTTCCTTTTCCAAGCAGGCACATCAGCGGCTGGATCAGAATTCGCGGCAACACATGCCGAGGGTATCTTCGTCTCCTCGCATTCCCCAAAGCTTCTACGCCCAAAGGTCAAAGAGATCAGAGAAAAGGCTGCAGCCCTAGGCAGAGATCCTCAGTCTGTCAAGTTCTTTGCAACTTTCACTCCGATTGTGGGACGGACCGACGAAGAGGCCCAGGCTAAGCACGAGGAGCTGAAGAAGTATGCTTCCGTCATTGGAGGATTGGTCCTCGTCAGCGGCTGGACGGGCATCGATCTGTC